GTATGTCGCGGATTGGCCAAGATGGTGTTTCAGAGGAGGATCGCGCGGGCAATCGGTCACGCGTGCAATCGCGCGCCCGCTCGAAACGAGCTTCTTGGTGAATTGCCGCGGCGGGAAATTGTTTTGCAATTTCGTCGAGTTTTCGTCGGGAGACGATGGCTGGGACATCGAGAGGCGAAAATCGAGGGAAACGAGCCTCAGCGAGGAGAATAACAGGCAGAGGAGCTTCCCTCCCCTCTCCTCCCTCGTATTTAGCAAGAGGTTTTGCAGCTGCCTCCGATGATCGGAGCTCTCCCTTCGATTTTGCAATCGGCCGCCGGGAGACCGGCAGTTATTGCAAATATACCGCAGCAAGCTCGCGTCTACGCGGCAACTCCAATTAATATCAGTAATCGTAGAAAGGAACCTCGCGTGTCGAAAGATGAGCCGGACACGCGCAATTTTTCTCACTCTGATATGTCTGCTTCGGCTTCCCTTTTTTTTTTTTTTTTTTTTTTCAGGTTGTTGGTGCGCTCGCAGTGCCGTGGGCTGGTAGTGCCCTCTTACCTGCATGTACAATGAGTTGTTAGAATGGTGATATTTGTTAAGTTAGTGTAGTTTCAGTTGATGTTGAGAGTGCAGGAAAAGTTTCAAAAAACCTGCGGTTCCTTGATTGTTGATCCGTGGAATTTGTTGTCTGTTGTGGCCTCTTATTTTCTGGCGTGTTTTGGTAGCCTGATCTTGATTTTGAACGGTAGATCTTCGATTTGATAATTTCCAGTAGATCTGATGAGGGGGTTTGGGTGTCGGCTTCCCTTAACCACTCGCGCTGGTTATGGCAGCTGATCGCGGACCATAACGAGCGACTGTACACGACAATTCGTCGCTTTCTTTTTGAACTCGCTGGTACGAGATGTCACTGGATAGAAATGATTGAGAAGTAGTAAATTTATTATTTGCTTTGCCTGGGTTATACCTAACTAGCTAGAATTACCGACGATCAGAGCATCAAATTTTCATCAGACACGTTAAAATAAATGAAACGGAAAATCTTTATGATACAACGGGATACACAAACTTTTATTTATGTAATTTATGAAGGATCGTTCGAGTCTCCAAAAGTATACTGTTTTATATCTATAAAATATTTGACAAAAATATTCAAATGGTCGTTTCGACCATTTTGGTAGTTTTAGTGTTAAAACTGAGAAAATATTGCAATTTTGGGACAAAAGACGTGCGTGGCAGAGGTGCACTCGTTCTGATTTGTCTCTTAGCGTCAAAGTGACACGACGAAGACTGAAAAGAGATAAATTGTTAATTAACGAGATAATTGAGAGATGATAACAGTTTACTAACAGTAAATAGATCAAAATAAACAGTAAGGTAATTAAAGTAAGTCAAAGTTGATTAAATTTTTATTCGGTTGCGCGTGACATTGTATTTCTTATGATCCTATTCTACATTTCACAAGAGGAGAAGTCAAAAGTATCAAATTGATACAGATTGGACGAGGGTTAATTTATTCACTGCCGTTTATTGTAAGATACGAACAGACAGTATAATGTACGTATATGTTCGATATGATTGAGTCTTTCAGTAGCTGAATCATACCAACTTTCCATTAATTTCTTCATCATTCAGTGAGAGTAATATTCAGTTCTTCAAGGAACGAACGATATAACTTTCGTAAGTTTTATCGTAAGAAAATAATGATAAATGGCAAGGTAAATTTAAAAAGCGGTGCTTTTAAAAAATGGGTCGTAATTTTTTTGTACTTTTCAATTTGTGAGATTGATCGATATGGTTTTTATATTCAAATACAAAATTTATTGGTATTAATGGGAGAAAATGAAATTAAATGATTTCTTGGGCTTTTCTTCGTTTGTATCAGAATCGTTTCGTCAGTGCCGAGAAAATGATGATAACGATTTCATCGAACATTTCACGCGATTGCAACGACTCATGCTCATTAGACGTAAAAACGTACAAATATTGGTAAAAGTAAAGCGGCCTGCCGTCCAAGCGGTCTAAAAGCGTAAAAGTTTGAAAAAAGAGAACAATTCCATTTCGAAACTAGTCGTTTTGCAATATACACTTTTTCTTTTTTTTTTTTTTTATTCCACGAGCACGTATGAACAAGTAAAAGTATAAATCTATTAACTCGACGAACGTTGAATTGCGCGAAATATTCTTGCAGTTGCGAGTTGTAAATTGACTGAAACTAACTTAACGAGATTAAACCTTAGTTTATACGATAGACAATTGAATTATGGTAGGGTCAAACTCATTTTCAGTTCAAATTAATCGTTCGTCCTTTCGACAATAAAATTCGGTGTTAAATTTTGTATTGTGGTACTGAAATCTTTATAAAACGAAGTTGATCACTTCGATGTCTGACTGATTCGATATATTCGTAATATTTATATATCGTTAGCCAATGTCTGACGACGATCTGACGTTTTTTCTGTTCTTTCTGATTGTTTCTTCATTTTTCACCTCCACTTTTTGTTACGTAAACTTTATCGCAAATGATAGAGCATTCTCGTATGCTTCGATTTCTCTATTGGCCTTAATAAGGCATTCGCCGAGCGGTTTTTTGTTGCCGTTTCTCTTGAAACGTCTGTACATCGATCAAGATTCAAAAAGGACACGAGCGTCGAAAGTATCAGACGTACAGACGACATTTTTCCCGAGTGAAAATTGCGAAAACGACGATCTCCCACGGCACTGAATCACCTTGAGTGTTTTCATAATCGTTTTCGAAAGATTTCGATCAGGTCGCACGATCATTTTTCTATAGCCTCCATGTTACCGAAGAAACGCAAAAATATTACAAGCAGATCTTTATATAAAATTAAATAAAAATATAGAAATGCATAGAACACGTAGTATGAAAAAGTATGCGAAAGTATTTGAAGTACAGAATCCTTTACTTAAGTCTTTATTATTTAATATAAGTTTTCACGAAAGCCTAGTGACGATCGTTGAAAATTTGAACGTTTAAAGTACGTATCTATCTAATTGTATCAAGTATATTTCTGTAGCCAATGACGTCAACTAAATAATTACGAAACAAATTCGTAATTAGAAAAGGAACACATCCAGAGAGACGTCTCCTGGATTATTTGTGTCAAGGTCGTAACTTTCATTGGAAAGATCGAACAAGTCGCCGCCTAATGTGAAAAATTGAGCAATCCTGTGGACCAAGATCGGTCGACCTTGACTGTTAGAAAATTTATTCAACACCCAATTTTTTTATATTACAACTTATTTACATCCACGTATGCTGCACGATGTCAAGAAATTCTACGCAATAGCAAATAAATATATATAATTTAGAAATGGCACAGATGATCCCTGTCAGGTGAGAAGCGAATGTTTTCGTTTGAATTGATCCACGTGCTCTGTTACATAAATATTTTTTCTTTTGCTTATATCCTCGTCCACAGTAATCGATCGTTTATTGCGTGTTTGAAATGGAATTTTCCGCAATTCCAAAACATCAGTTCTTCCACCTTGTTTTACATTTCTTTTGCATTTTATATATATACATGAATATGTCGTAACACGGAAACTTAAAAATAATTCCAAAACCAGTGTTTTTACAATTTATGCAATTTATGTTTGAACACTTGTTGGAATTACTTACAATTATATTACGTGTGTTTGATACTTTGTGAGACACGATTGTTGTGATTATATTGATTAAGTTTATAATATATAGAGAAGTTACAAAGTATTCAATATAAGTATACTTCGCAGAAATAATAAAAGTATTTAAACAACCAATTATCTATTATATATTATATAGTATTTTATATATAATATAATATAATAAGTATATATTAGTGTATAAATTATATATATAGATTTAATAATGTATATAATATATAATAATTATATATATATATATAATTATAATTTATTGTCTACTATATGTACATTAATAAGCCTGAACATTCAGTACAACTTATACGTTTAAATTGACTACTGACGTTCATATTAATGCTATTTAATTAGTGAAATTTTAAAATAATGTATTATATATATATATATATATATAATGTTCCTCTATAGTAAATATTCGAATGCTTTGACCGACTGTAGATAAATATCCCTTTCGAGGAATTTGAAACATCAAATTCAAACTATCAAATTGTCCACTATTTTCCATTTCGTTACCACTCGAGATTAGTTCAAATTACATCTAAACAACCGATTCAACATTAAATTCTGCGGTTTTTCTCTTCGCCAGCCGGAAGTGGCAAACAAGCCGCGATCCGTTCGAAATCAATAGCTTCCTGCAATTAACACTGCCATTCTTGTACATTGCGGCGCGTGCATCGAGAACATATGTACATACATATGTTGTTCAGTTCAATTATCGGCGGATAGATATCAGAAGTAATTTGCATCGATGCAGAAATGAGAATCAGAGCGTTAACTGATGACCAATGTCATCAGTATTTTTTTTTTTTCTTTTCAATCGTCGCGCGAATTTTATCCAATAGAGATAACGAGAAGCATAAACAATTTCCATAATCGTTATACGCAAGCAGCTCATTTAATAAGATGAAAATCTATTCCTCTGGATGAACCATCTTTTGTCCCCAATTTTTTCCTTTTTGTAGTTACACCTCCCTCTATTTTTTATTGTATTACACTTTTATTTTTTTTTTTACAGTTTATTAAGTGATCAAGTAAGACTGAAAATAATCCAAAAAAAAAAAAACAACGTGTTTCAACGATACAGGACAATATTTCAGTGGTAAATTGAAAATTTGACGGCAGATTTCGCGACACCTTTGAGAGGCTTTTCATTGTTGCCGAAATGAATCGTCGTGGAGGGAAAGGCAGCAGGAAAATAGCCACGAAAACGAAATTCAGCCGAAAAAACAGCTTGCCCCACCGAATTCGTCCGTTTATCCAGACTTATCGTTTGATACCCCACTTCTGGCAGCTTTTCCTACCTCTCCATGTTGGTAGAAAGTAACGGCAGCGTGGTGCGATGAAATCGGCCCTCTCAGTACAACAGAAACGTCGGATCATGCGAGATCGAGGGTCGTCACAGTGATTCCGGATCCAACGTACGTCGATTTGTGTTTACATACGTTTCTTACGAACGGTCGATCGTGATAAGGATCCGCGTTTTCGTCAACGGTGGTGCTCGAGTTCTAAAAAGCTCTGACTGTCTCGGTAGCTCCTTCGCAAGTTAATCGTAAATAGACAGATGAGTCGTTAATCTACCGACGATGATGCTGTGACGTGGATCGTCGTTCAGTTGTCCCCGAGCTGATTCAGTTTCGGTAAGAGGAATAATTTGCTATTTGGAATTTTTCGTGGATAGCTGCCGCGTTTCAAGTTCTCGAAATTTTTACTTTCATTTCTTTTTCTTTCTTTTTTTTTTTCTTGAAGCACCTCTACTTGCTTGGAGGATCTCTCTTGAACGAATCAAGTTCAATTACACTCAATTAGATTTTAACAGACCTTTCGCTTTCAATCAATTTCTGAAAAATCAGAGCATTTTTACATTTTGAGAAATGAAAAGTCAAAGAATCCGAGTTTTCTTCGTATTTTATTTTCAAAAGAAGAAAAGAAAGTTGCATTACAGGTATGCTCTAGTAGCATGTACAACCGTTAACTTAATATCCGACGATCAGACCAGTACGACGGCCTTGGTAAAAGCGGCATAAAATTGATAAATGAGAAGGAACGATCGGCGATCTTGATGTTCGCGGAAGGAAATGTCCTTGCAAGGTTTCTTCGCTGTCTAATGTTGCTCTGCTTCCGACTACAGTTCTTTGACCGACTACAATCTTTCTGCCTGTCACGATATACACTTGACGCGATTTCCTGCGATTTTGCTGGCCGGTTTTCCGTTTTTTTATTCGCCGTTCGCCTTTGTAATCCCGTCACTGTGAAATTGATATCGACTGGTACAGTGAGAATGGAATTTTTTAGCTCAGGTATTATCTACTTTACCGTTGTTGCTTGAAAGCAAAGAAACAAGGAGATTGTGTGAACATTGTAAGAAACCTTGCGGTTTTTTGTATCTACGTTCCTGATCTTTCATAAATTTTTTCCAATACTTTTCCTTATTCTACAAATGGCGCACTTTCAAAATTAAATCGTCAAACTCTGAAAATCTTAAGTTTCATTTGTTAATTTTATTTCTTCGCAGTAGTTTCTTGTACAGGTTCTTTGTAGTTTCTTTCGCGCGTTCCTGATTTCTTTCAAGTCTTCCCAATACTACTCTCCTCGGATAGCACATCTGCAAAGTTTCATATCTTGAAAATGTTAATTTTCGTTTGTTAATTGTTTCTTCTAGTATTTTTAATCTTTAACTTAGTGTCAATGCAGCAACGTTGTGGCCCCCATTCTTAACCAGGATGATTATTTATCATTCTTCTTTAAAACGAAATTTTCGAAAATTACAAATTCATTGTATAATACTTTTTGTACCTAGAGATTGATATCACGTCCAGATCAGATGAATTTTTAAAATAATGTTACGTACATAAATTCTTTTACACCCACGAAACAAATTGGGATTTTAGACAATCAATCCACGAAAATCGCACAAGTTTTCTTTCCGTTTGATCCGGTTGGTATTTTTTTTTCTTTTTTTTTTTTGTAGAACAAAACTTCGTTCCCCGAGTCGTTCTTCGAGTCGCCGCCACGGGTGAACGGCCAGCGTTCTAACTAGAAATCTAGTTATGCGTTGCAGGCTGTAATTTCACTCTAACCCGCAAACAGTAGCACATAACGAAGCTTGGTACGTGTTTATAGCCGATTCCGGGGTCATATCTCGTTCTCCGCGTTCTCCGCGTGACTCGAGCCGACACGAAACAGCCAAGAATTTCTATGTATCGACCGGAAAAGTGCAAACCTGTCTTCCGTTTCCACTCAGCGGCCAGTGAGACGTACGCGGTGAACGCGGAGAACTCAGAGACTCGTCGACCCAATCGAACTACTTTCCATTTCGTTCGGACGCGCGGATTCAAATAGAGGTTTTTTCCTTCTCGTTGTTTCTTTAAAATTCGGCGTGTCATCGACGTGGGAAAAATGTTTGTACGCTAGTGGATTTATCAAGGCCGAGCCGATCATGCAGATATCGGCGGCAGTTACGTAAACGCGAAAGTGCAAGAGCACGTTGGAAAGAGGTCAATGCTCCCTCGGTCGTTCGAAATGTAATTCTTTTTAACTTTATGCTTCTTATTTGAATTTTTTTACGACGAGTGCTTGGGGTTTTAGGTAACTTTTATTTACGAGCTGTTTGCGCAAAGTGATGCTCATTGCCGAGTGTACGGCAATCGTTTGCAAAGATCGATTTCACTTTTTATGAAATTGTTTATTTTGTTACATTGTATTGTAAAATTATAAAATTATAAAATTGTAAAATTGTAAAATTGTAAAATTGTAAAATTGTAAAATTGTAAAATTCTAAAATTGTAAAATTCTAAAATTGTAAAATTCTAAAACTCTAAAACTCTAAAACTCTAAAACTCTAAAACTCTAAAATTCTAAAATTCCAAAATTATATTATAAAATTATTATACTATATGTAATACATTAGAGAGAAAGAGATGTGTCTCTTTATAAATTATATACATTGTTTTCTTACGTATATAAATTAGTATAATTATGTAATGCACGTTCAAGAAGAAGATGTGTTGGTTTTGTTTTCACAAATTTAATCATCACGAGAAAATGTTTATACGTTATTTTTTTCTTTGTACTTTAATTTATCATGTTCCATGTTATAGTGTTAACTCGCGAGCTATTTTTAGCGTAATGCTATTTTATATTCAATTACGAGTGTGCGACTAACGAAATATCTAAAAATATTTTAATAATGATTATTTTCTTTACGTATACGTATTTTATTAACATTAATTCATTGGCAAACGACTTCAACTATAGTCTAATGTGTTCGTTTGTATTTCTTTACACACTGCTAACCCATACGTTAGAACTGAGCCTGTGTAGTTATAATTTATTTAATTATAGAATCAAACGAATGATATACATGAAAAAATTGAAATATTTACCGAGCATAAACCTTGAAAGTTGAGCAGTGATTTTCATTTTAACCAGTTCTAGCAGTCTAAATTGAATTTCATAATGAATTTAGAAAGCGCTGGTTCAAATTACGACCTTTCGTCGTGAAATTCCACATTCTAATTTCTCGTTTTATTCATTTAACGTTAGTTCGGTCCGACCTTGTTGTCGGCCTGAGCGGTCTCGCGAACATTTTCTTTCCTCGTCGAACTTTCGAGTCTCCGTATTCTTCTTCAGCACCTGCATTACATTATGGATTCTTTTTTTACTTTCTTCATCTCGCGAAGACGTTCCTTTCAATTTAGAATTCCTCCTTTAGTAAACAACTTAAAATTCTAATGCTAAATATCGTTTATGGGCGAAACACGTTGCGACGCGCCCCTTTCGAAATGAAAATGCGAATGAGATAAGAAACCACGAATGGTAGCTCGGTAGTTTATGGTTTCGCGTTTCGCACTTTCCACTGGACGCGAAGTATTACACAAATATTACAGACAATAGAATTTGCATTCGAAAATTACGTGAATCGTTACCGCATAGTTTTCGATCTGCTAAACGGAGGAGCTAACAGATGAAAATTGTAACTTAATGAGCCAATATCTATATATTACAGATTGCTTCGTCAATGTTGCAGAGGAAATTACAAAACAGTGTATTAAATGCAGTCAGTCACGGAATATCTATATACATATGTGCATATGTCGAATTTTGAAAGAGAGGAGGAACGATTTTGGACAGTTTATGGATTTTGACCAATTTGCTAATTGCCGGACCATTTATAAACTATTAACGTTTGTTAATTAACGTTTGTTTAGAATAAATGGAAATAAATTGGAAGCAGAATACGTGCAATTAACGTGTATATAGCGAAACGAGTAAAACTTCTTCTGATTGTAATAAAAGAACGCTTTGTACGCTTTGGTGCATTCATGATAATTACGTGTGTGATAGATTTCGATGTATTCATGTTTTGCTCGGTAAATAAATGTGAGAAACATTTTTCTTTTTCCCTGGAATCTGTATGACAAACAAATGAATCAGTGTTTATAAAGTGATTGAGTTTAGAATCGTTGTTTTTTTCTTTTTTCTTTTTCTATAAATATTTGCAATTTATGCAGATGTACGTAGACTTTCATGACTGACTCTCTGTGTTATTAGCATCATGTTCAACATCATAAATTTTTGAATGATTATTCAATTACAATCTCGTTAGAAGTAGATATTCTTCACTTTTATCTTCTTGGTTCCTGCTTCTTTATTCGAAATTCTTGAATCGTGTAATTATTTAGAAATCTCACACGATTTTAGTGCACGTCGTTCCGGTAAAATGAGTCAATTGCGTTAATAGGTCGAAGGATATAAATTGGACCAGAAGTTTCACTTTTGCATTGATTAACGTAACGAGCGATAAGATTCGAAGAGGCGAAAGAGGCGCATAAATAGTATATAAGCATAAATAACTGTCATTGCAAACAGATCTTCTTTTGCTCGATTTGTTTATTATTTCGAACGACGACATCGACGATATCTTTTCATATGTTCTTCGTTCGTTTAAATATACGGTTAAATATCTCAAGTCTGGATCGTAATTAATTGTTCTTTCGATGAGTATTATTATAATCTTTTCAACTGCATCTAAAATTAAGAGAATGTGTATCGGAGAAATCTTTTCATAATTTCTATTTTTTAAATCTGTATGTTTGTTACCATTCCTGGGATACAACACTTTTATACATTTATAGAAATATACGTTTACATAATGTGCATGGTAAATATAATCACGTGCATGCTTTCGCAATTACGTGTATACTTTGCAATCAAAAGAGAAGAAATGCAGAGTAGATTATAGGGTAGAAAAGAGGAGAAGGACTTTTGCTCTTGCTGCATTTTACAGTTTCACCTTTACAATCACAACATTTTACACAACTTGATTTTAATTTCAAGTCTCGAATGACAAAGTTTGAGGATTATAGTTATAAACATATAAATATGAGGATTACAGGCATAAACATTTTACACAACTTGATTTTAATTTTAAGTCTCGAATGACAAAGACTGAGGATTATAGTTATATACACAACTTGATTTTAATTTTAAGTCTCAAATGACAAAGATTGAGGATTATAGTTATTCAAATTCAAACTCGAATTTGAATTTAAAATTGAAATTTGGAATTTAATTCAGAGTTAAAAAAAAAAAAAAAAGAAATTGCATTCGTGTTCGTATCAATTTGTATTTAAGCCAC